GTGTGAACCTAATACAGAAAGTAAAATTGACCAGGAGACAAGGATCCATCAGATGGCAGAGACACACTGCCAGCCGCATGATTGTGTAAAGACCTGGTGTTTGGATGAGATCCAATTTCAACCCAACGAGTCAATAATGACTCAGGGTATGTTGAGGGTGGAAGTGCAGATGGAAGAGACTGTGGACACCGCAAGTGAGTGGGTAATCCAATTCCAACCAGTAGAGACTGTGGACACCCAGAGTGAGCGGGAAATACAAACCCAGTCGGAAGAGGTTGCGGACATCCAGAGTGATCGGGACATACAAACCCAACCAGTAGAGACCATTGACACCCAGAATGAGTGGGAAATACAAACCCAACCAGAAGTGATTGCAGACATCGCAAGTGAGTGGGAAATTCAATCCCAACCAGTAGAGACTGTGGACACACAGAGTGAGTGGGAAATACAAACCCAATCAGAACAGGTTGTGGACACCCAGAGTGATCAGGAAAAATACACTCAACCAGTAGAGACCACGGACACCCAGAATGAGCAGGAAACACAAACCCAACCAGAAGAGGTTGCAGACACCTTGAGTAAGTGGGAAATACAAACCCAACTAGAAGAGACTGTAGAAACCACAAGTGAGCAGGAAATACAATCCCAACCAGAAGGTACTGGGGACATGCAGAGTGAGCAGGAAATACAAACCCAACCAGAAGAGGTTGCAGACACCTTGAGTGAGTGGGAAATACAAACCCAACTAGAAGAGACTGAGGGCACCCAGAGCGAGTGCGAAATACAAACAAAACAAGAAGACACAGTAGAAACCACAAGTGAGCAGGAAATGCAATCCCAACCAGAAGGTACTGCAGACATGCAGAGTGAGCAGGAAATACAATCCCAGACAGAAGGTACTGCGGACATGCAGAGTGAGCAGGAAATACAATCCGAACCAGAAGGTACTGCGGATGTGCAGAGTGAGCGGGACATACAATCCCAACCAGAAGGTACTGCAGACATGCAGAGTGAGCAGGAAATACAATCCCAACCAGAAGAGACTGTAGAAACCGTGAGTGAGCAGGAAATACAATCCCAAACAGAAGAGACTGCAGACTCTCAGAGTGAGCGGGAAATACAATCTCATGATGCTGGTGATGTATCAACTTTCTTTGCAGTAGAGATTGACCAACAAAACAATTTAGTAAAAACCATAATAAAACAAACTAAGGAAGT